AGAGAAGGAGCTCATGCCTTTGTAATCTTTAGAAGAGATCAGAGAAAATAACTAAAAAATTATGAGTGTATAAAGTAAAAACTATATTCATTCAAAATATTGACTGAATCACAAGCAAAAAGAACCATAGGAAATCCAGAATAATGCATATAACATTTGAACGTAAAAAATAAGATGAAGGAAAGCGTCTTGAAAACACCCAGAGAAAGTGAGGTTTCTCATCATAATAGAGAGGGAAAAAAATTTCTAGTAATATAGTTTTTTAAATACTGAAGGGGGACACAATTAATTGCCAGTTTTAATTTCTGCATCCAACAATGTTCTCTTTGTCAACAAATGGGCACTAAAGGTATTATCATGTTGGAGGCTGTTTGCTCGTTTCCAGTTGTTCTGATTCAAAATAATCACACAGAAACTATATTATTTGCAATACTGTTTGACCACTTGCTTAAATGTATTTCTAACTAGCTCTTATATCCTAAACTAACCCATCTCCATTAATCTGTGTATCGCCACAGGCCTGTGGTTTATTGGCAAGGTTCTGGTGGGCTCCTGCAGAGGTGTCTGTCTCCTGTGGGCAGCTACATGGCTTCCCTAAATCCACCTACTCTCTCTCTCTACATATATCTCTTCCAGCCTGGATATATTCTGCTAAGCCAGTGGCCGAAAGCAGCTTCTTTATTCAGTAACCCATAAAAGCAAGACATATACAGAAGGGCTTTCCACACCATCCTCAGATGAAGGGATACAATGCAAATCTGTTGCTAGCCAAGAATGGTTAAAGAATGTTCTCTGTATAGGAAAGAAATGTTATGAGAAGAAAACCTGAAATTCTATTTAAAAACAAAAAAGAATATATTAAAATAAGGAAAAGGAAAAATGTATAATTATAATGGATATTTACAAATTTTCTAAACATAACAAAAGCTATAATTATAAATTAATTATTCCCATTAATTTCTTATATCATATTTGATGCCTGATCAAATATTGTAAAGCTATCAGATACTGTGGTCTGTGTGTACAAAGGAAGAAGAAACAGTTACATTTTTTAAATGTGGTAGTAATGGAGCCTGAATAAAGGTCAGCTTTCTAAATTATATCTGAGACAGCAAACCATCACTGAAGCCAGGGGACGGTGACTAGTTATATATGTGTATCATCGGATGGAGCTCAAACATTGGGAAAAATATGCTCAAAACACTGTATTTGATATTTAAGTCAATAGATACTTAAAGTGAGTATTTAATATTTAAATTAAGGTGGAACGAACAAAATAAAAATTAGTTGTGTAGAACAACTTGGTATTATTTAAATTGTTATAAATCAAAACAATTACCCATGGAAATTTTTAAGTTGATCAAAATTGTATGTGGCATTGATGAAAGGCTCTTCTGTGAATTGCTGAACCAGGCGATGAAAATTTTTAATCACAGAACAGTGTGAAGCCCGTGTGAATGGAACATGAAACCAAGCTGACTGTGGCAAGAGCCAAAAGCCTGAGCTTTTCATCATCACATCGTGTCCTGATACCATTTCATTCATGTTATGTTTGTTTCCAGATTTACTGCTTCCAACCTGATCCAAAGCAGCTGCTTTCCCACAAGGAGGCTTATCTCCTTCTGCACAGGGAATAAAACAGGGTTAAGAATGCAAGCAGATCCAGCCCCATCCCTACAGAGGCCCGGGTCAGAGGAGAAGATGTGCAGAGCAAGGAGCTCATAAAGTTGGCTTAAAGGCAGGATTATCTTGTCCTCCCAAGACAGAAGTCATTAGAACAGGGTCGAGGGCTACTGCATGCAGACGTCTGCACGGTGAACGAGTCCCAGATCCCTTTCATTGTCCTTGGCTTTGAGCATCTCTTCAAAGCAGGTCAGTAGGCCTGTGGGTCCCTGCTAGGGTCAGCTCTCAGGCTGCTCCTTAGTGACCCGTAGTCATGTGGACAGAGAAAGAAGCCTGCCTCTGTAGAAGATCAAAGTCCTAGTTTTCCTTGCAGCCTTTCTTTGCTCTTCAGCTGGGTGACGGGGGGTGGGCAGAAAAAAGGAGGAAGGATGTTTTAACACTAAGTCAATTGCGGCTAGCTCCACAATTTCCCCCGACAGGTAGCTAAAATGTAACCACACAATGGTCCCTGCCTCAGCTGCCTTTGATAACTCAGATAGAGGGAGAGCTCAGGATAGACATCAATAATAAGATAGATCTGTTATTTAGTTACTCTGTTGATGCTGTGGTAAAATGCAAAGACCAAAACATCCTCTAGAAGAGTTTCTTTTAGCTTATGGTTGCAGAGGGTGAGAGCCTATGATAACAAAAGGGAGGCATGGCAACCAGTGGCAGGAGTGGTACGGCAAGAACAGCTGGGAGCTCACACCTTAAGTGACAAACACAGAGCAGAGCTAGCATTGACTTCTGAACCTTTGTCACGGGAAGGCTGGTCACAGAGGCTCTGTTCTACCATGGGCTCACTAATCATTCTGATTCCTTGAACTCCCTGGCCCCCTATCCAGGGTTCTAGATACCTTTTCCTGAAACTTCCACATCCCCAGAAACTTCTCACATGGGGAACCCAATGTTGTCAGTCATCATGGCTGTGGAGCAGCAAGTCAGACACCCAGCCCGTCCAGGGAAACGTGACTACTGCCCCATGAATGGTGGCTTGGAAAGGAAAGAAGTCAGTGTTCAAAACCGTAGAATCCACTAATGTGACTGCGTTTGGGAAAGGGGGTTGCTGTTGTGATTAAATTATGGAGGTAAGTTCATCCTGGGGTTCGAGTGGTCTTTAAATCAGTGATAACCGCTCTTATGAGAGACAGAGGATGCCACATGCAGGCACAGAGAAGGTGACGTGAAGACAAGGGACAGAGGTGGGAGTGATGCCAGCCCTCTGCAGAGGAAACCTGCCGTCTTTCCATCAAGGGAGTATGACCCTGCTCATCAGCTGACATTCAGTGTCTGGTCTGTAGAGGGGTGGCGGAATAGACAGCTGCTGTTTGAAACCACCTGGTGCAAGTTGTGGTGACAACCAAGGAAAGCTAATAGAGATGAATGCTTGTGTCAAGGCTGTACTAAGGTAAGGTTTGTTTGGAGGACATTGAAGATGTAGCAGGTAGAGTGAGAAGGTATGAAGTCATTTAGGCAGAGAGCGCTGTAAGAAGAATCCATAGAATGATCAACAAGCTTCATAGGTCAATTTTTTTCATGAACAATGGTAATAGTAGAAATTTGCCTTGAGAAAAATGCGTGTGTCTGTCTCTGTCTGCACGTCTGTCTCTTTCTCTCTGACTCTCCTCTCTCTCTCTCTCTCTCTCTCTCTGTGTGTGTGTGTGTGTGTGTGTGTGTGTGTGTGTGTGTTTGGATTCCTTGATTCGAATTTCTAAATGCTCTGCCATAGATTTTAGACTTTTCACATTATGGATACTCAACCGATAATCTATGGAAATATTTCCCCCAGCCACCACTAGATAAAAACCTCTGAAATCTGGTGGCAAGTATCTCCGATTAAAGATACACACCCCCATTTCTATGATGAGCTCTCCTGAGAGTATGTTAGTGAATACAATCACTAAGCAGGCTCCATATGAAGGTGTCACTGTGGTGACATCCATGACTTCAGCGGCTCGTGTCTATTTATAGTAGCATTTTTCTGATCATGTTGACATGTGAATAGAGGCATGACTCAAAAAGAGCATCTGTTACCTTGGAAACAGTGAAGGATTCTAAGTAGAAGCCTCAGTTTGGGAATTATTATTCTAATGGTATTTGAGACTGGATAATTTTCTGTCTCTGTCCTCTGCTCAGAAGTTGAGAACATCACTGGGCTTGACCTGGCTAATGCCAATCAGTAGTGACCATACAAGGTCATTTCTTTTTTTTTTTTAGCAAACTATATTTACTGTTTACAGTAGAAAAGGATGACAAATAATGTACAAACTGGATAAACACAACGGAGCCAACAGACATCCCACCCAAGCCCACGCAGCAAAACAGGAAACAACAACATTTTCCTCGGGATTTTAAGCAAGCAAGAGATGGTAGGTCAGTGTCAGGTGACTATGAAAGGCAGAAATGGCCATCAAGCAGCAATGGACCCTTACACAAGGATGACAGGCAGGACGATCCACATATAACTGGTATAGACCCCACAATGCAGGACTGAAGTCACCTACTGATGCATCATTTGAATACACATCTGGAAAGCCACAGAGCATAATCCATGAGAATGAGGTCACCTCTCCCGGGCTTTCTTTTGCAACCACACTTTGAAGCAGGTCTTACACAGCATCACTGTAAGCTTGATACTTAACCAATGACCTTCTTACACAGAAACCATAATTATGCGTTGGAACCAAGTACTAGAAAATAATCTGAGGCCACATTCAGTTTCCAAATGAGACATGGCAGTTACTTTCTTCTACATTATAACAAGGAAAGAGAGTGGGTCCCACCTTACAACCCTGCCCATGTACCCATTACCAGATGCCAAGTAGAAAGGGGGCATGTCGGGAGAAGTTGGGTCACAGTACATAAGGACTCCTTCCAATGGTCTTTTCCCTTTAACTTTGCCATTTGACAAAGCTCAAGCTGATAGTATTTCAATGTTTTAATATTCTATACCTACAACAAATAGGCACAATTCTGTCCCTCTCTCCCATCTCAACATCCCATAGGCAAGCCCACTGGGTAATGGGACCACAAGCTCTCTCCTTGACTAGGGCAAATCACTCTAAAAGCAACCACAGTTCTGGGGGTCAGAGTCAGGTGGCAGGCTGATTCCACACCCAGCTCCATGTTTTGGGGGAAAATATTTTAGGGATGGGAGGAAGCAGAAATGAAAACATAAACAAATCCCAAAATCTTGCTCTTGTTTCCCCTAAAGACAATGCGCTACACAACACTTTCATCCCTGCATGATGTCTGTAGTCCGCTCCAAGCAGATCAGAAAAGGAGAACCAGTCAGGAACTCTGGCTTCTGCTGACGCTTCTGTGATTCGTGTGGGCTGCATGGTCACCATTCAATAGCAGATGTCAAGACAATGATCGGGTGTGAGGACAGTCCCTCGGGAAGCTGTTCCTCCTGTCTGCTGCTGGAATACGTCAATGGTGTCCTCCTCCTCCATCTCCAGCTGGGCTGGGGTGTCTGTTTCATGGATTGGTTGTCCATCAAACCGGAATCGAATCTGCCTCATTGACAAGCCCTGCCTCTCGCAGTACGCCTTCATCAGCTTGCTCAGTGGTGTGTGCCTCTTGATCTTGAACTGTACCACTGAGCCATCCTGTCCCGCCACTTTCAGGTTGATGTGGTCATTCTCTGTTTTCACCCCCTCCTTGGGCTTCTCTTGACATGGTTGCGCGGCGGTGGCGGCGGGAAGCACAGGAAGAACCACTGACACTGGAGCAGGTGAGTCATGCTCTCTGCCCCGCCGCTCTCCCCTACAAAGTCATTTCTCCATCTTCCCATGACTTCTTTGGGGAGAAAAATAGACCCTATTGATAACACCCATTCTAATATTTTCTGGTAAGTATAAAGGAGAGTTTTTGAAAACTTCTTTCAGCTTTTTGTCACCTTAAAAGCTACTGACAATCTTGTCCATGGCAGTAGCTTATATCTGGAGCAGGGTGAACAGGAGGTATGTGTTGGGATGAAAATCTCCAACTGTGTCCTTTCAGACAGCTCCATCCTGGGCCTGTCTTCCACACACCCTGTCACACCGAAGTCTGAGTGAGTGGTCAAATCATCTGAGCTTTCCCTGCTCAGACAAGGACGGCCGATCCTGGGAAGCACTGCAGTGCTTTTGTCCATGAGAAAAAGAAAGAAAGGAAGGAAGGAAGGGAAGGAGAAAGAGAAAGAGAGAAGGAGGGAGGGAGGGAGGGAAGGAGGAAAGGAGGGAGGGAAGGAAGGAGGGAGGGAAGGAGGGAGGGAGGGAGAAGAAAGTTATAGTGCTAGTAAACCTCATTCCCATAGCAAGCTACTCTATTGTCATGTCTAGATGGCACACTACAAATGGCCAGTACTGGCACCTGCCTTGTATTAATCACGACACCTTTATCTCATCTCTGATTTTTATGAATTCTTTTTATTTTTTTATTTTGTGTGTATGAGTGTTTTTCGTGCATGTATACAGGTGTATCCCATGCACTACATGTATGCCCGCTCTGTGAAAACCAGCAGAGAAGAGACTGTTGGATCCCATGGATCTGAAGTTACAGATGCCTGTCTGGGTACTGGGACTCAAAACTCAAGCCTTCTGTAACAGCAGGCAGTGCTTTAAACTGCCGAGTCCCTGATTTTTATGAATTCTACATCATTGTGAAACCCACTTCCTGGACCAGATTTTGTTTATTTTAAGTAACTGATAATGGATAATAAATCCCAGAGCTAAAGTTAAAATCTAATTTTACCCCTAAAAAGTAAGTTCTAAATTCATACTTTCTTCAACGACTAATACACACACACACACACACACACAGAGAGAGAGAGAGAGAGAGAGAGAGAGAGAGAGAGAGACCCATACAATTATTTTTCCCTTTTAGCATTTTCTTTTCACAAGCCTTCCTCTGATGTGTTAGCAATAATCTGTGCAAAAACAAAGCACAAATAGAGATTTTTATAATTAAAAAGAGGTGGGAGATAAGGAGGAGGAGAAATAAAGTGCTTGGATAATTTGCAATGAGATTATTCAGTCCTTGAGTAACCAGCGCGTACAGCTGCAGGAAACACCAATGACAATGGCTGAAGCAGGGAAAGGGGCGGTTGTCTTGATGAAAGACCAACAGGTCCTCATAGGAGATGTTCTTGGGAACGGAGCAGAGGACTCCTTTCCTACAAGCCTGCTGTGCTCTGTGAGGTCAGTGGAAGAAAACTTACCTTAGGAAGGTAAGTGAAAGAGAAAGAGATAATCCCTTTCTCAGGTAACTGGCTGCCTGTAATTACAGACATCAATGAGGAAGGAAATAGAACTGAAAATTACCACAGGAATTGCCAAAATCCCAGTCAGAATAAAACAAAGTCAGATGGCATGAAGCCTTGCATGCCTGTATGAAAAAAATGACTAAATAAAACCCAATTTTCTCCCACAAGAAGAATGGGTAAAACTTTTAGCCAATTAGGGTAACTCCACCATGATCAAATGTGAGCCATGTAATTATTACATGGAACAGTAAACATTTTAATTATATAATTAGATACAAATGTAAGGGTTTTTTCCGCCTTCCTTTTGTGTGCTGGCATTTTTCTGCTTCCATGGTCAGCAGCCGAATGTAGTGATTTAATTACCTCAGAGTCAGCCGGTTGCCTTTGCTGTCTGAAGCCGCCTTTGCACAATGCCCTCAACTGACCTGAAGCAAGACTCAAACTCACCCTTTGTGCCCAGGGCTTTCCTGACAACAAAAGAGGTACTGGTTCTCCTTTCCCCAGATACCAGCCCTGGGCCTATTTCCCAGTCCCTGATTCTCTTCCCTAAGTCTCCTTCCTCTACCCACTCCCTGCCCTCACTCCACCCTCCAGCTACACACACACACACACACACACACACACACACACACACACACACACGCGCGCGCGCGCGTTTGGGGGCAAGCACTCTAAATCCACCATCTTGTTCTATGCCATTACCTACCACAAAAACAAGACCCTGAGGGTTGTTCTATATTCTGGCACATTAACCCCTCGTCTTCAGTCTTTCTGATTCTGGATGCTACTATTTGTGTGTCAATAACAAATCTCAGGACAGTATTTCAGGGACATAGGTATGGAAATGAGTCAGAAACTGGAGGAAGGAGTAGCATGACCATGGTGCTTATTAAAAGAGTTGAAATTAGTCCAGGGATCCTTCAAATCCTTTCACTCACATTCTACTTATGTGAGGAAAAAGACTTTCTACAAACAAGAGAGTTGGGTATGGATGTGTCTTCACAGGCTTTTCCTCTGCACACCGCTCATCCCCAGGTTAAAGTGCATTTGAGAGGCACCTGATGCATTCAGGGACAGAATCTTGTTTACTTATTTCCAGTTTACACCCTGAACCTGAATTATTCTATTTTATTTTGCCCTAGAAAATTTGCTTTTATTCATTAGTTATTTAATTAACTATAAATCATTTTTATAACATGGTTATCTCTGAAAATTATTAAATATTAAAAATACCTTTTAAACAATACCTGCTATGTTCTTTACATATTTCCAAGGTAGCAATATAATAGTAATTGTTTTTTCATGTATTATGTGAGATATTCAAATAATACAATTTTCTAAGCTGGTAAAGACTCCTTTCGCCAAGACTAACAAGATAAGATGAACCCTTGGAACCCAAATGGTAGAAGGAGAGAGAACCTATTCCTGCAAATTGCCTTTTGAGCACCATAAATTTGTTGTAGTACAAATGTCCACACACAAATCTATGTACAAAATGTTTCTCTATTCCTTTCTCTCTCCCTCTATCTCTTACATACACATAGATGTTATACAGTTTTTAAGACAAAGAAATAATGTAGGCACTGCAGAGATGGCTCTATGGTTAATTATTCTATTATTTGAATGAATTGCTGAGAATTTATTCAAATTCTCAATTAAGAGCGCTGCACAAAATTTAGATATCTCCCCTACTCCTAGACTAGCATTGTATCATAATCTCGAGAAAATCTAAAGCCAATGGGTCCCATAGGGGTGACATGGGCACAGGAGACTGCTGAAGTTTTTGAGCTGTAGTCTGGCGAGCAGTTTATCAAGCTTTTCTTTCCTTTTTTCATTTTAGTATACTTTCTGTTTCATTGACTATGTGTGAATATCTAACATAATAAGATTTACAATAGCTAATTTTGAAATCTTTGTGTTCAAGGTCATTCCACATTAATAAATGAATGCATTGATTCTGGGGTTTCCTTCAGTAATCTTTTCACACCACAGAAAAGCTCTCATCAAACAGCGAATCCCCCACAACTTAGCTTGGCCCCGAGATAAATTTTCAACCCAGCACCACCACACAGCGGGAATGGTGCCGTCTGCTTCTGCTCTTGCTTATTTATCAACTCTGCAAATGACCGCTCTGATGCTTCCAAAAGCGAGCAGGGAGGGTTGTCACCCTTATTTATTAGTTCCCGGTCCGATTCTCAGCGGTGTCCCGCATGCGCAATATGACTGTTTGGGGAGTTGCCTGTAGTCAGTGGCTCGGTTTCTTCCGTTGTCAAATGAAACACCGTTGCATCCCCCTCAATGGGAGATGAGTAGAGATGAGCATCACCACTGAGTGATTGATGTGTGTGCTCATTCGACGGCAGCAGGCAGTGACAGGTAGACAGGCACGTGGTTGGCCATACAGGATGTGGATTAAAAGACTCAGTGCCTTTTACGAGATAAAGGAAACAAGGGGTTGAAGCAATGGCATAGCCCTGTTGGGTGAAAGGGAAGGAAAGTCTCTAGTTCTGCAGAGATTGAGTCATTTGTGAAAACTGTAGAAGCTATTTCTCTGTCACTTTAAATGGATGCCTATCTCATTCATGTGGATATACTACAATAATGGCAGGATACATTCTTAGGGGCATTTATTTCACTTCAGTATACTGATTTAAAATGTTAAAACCAGACCATTTTTTTTTAAATTAGTTCAATACCCTCTTTGTATTCAAACACTTTCAAATGTGGTCATTTCCAATTGCAGAGGAAATGTCTTTGCAGTGGTAGAGAACACTGTACCTAGTCAGTCACATTCTCTATTTTCATTGTTAGTATAAGCTATTTAAAGTGGTAGAATAAAGCTATTTTACGTAAACATCGCTCGGACTATCCAAAAGCTGCAGTCTCCTTGATCACACACTGCTCAGCATTCAAAACTTGTCTGTTATTTCAGTACTAAATAAATATAAATAAACAAATAAATAAAGTGATGTTAAAATCTCTATTGGAAGAACAAGCCAGGAGAACAAATATGCATGTTTTGGGATTAAATTAACTGAAATTCAGTCTTGTGTTAACCCAAGGAGACAGGGTAGTGAATTTCAAGCTTTAGAAGGTTGCCACATTTGCCTTGTAAAAGACTTAAGCCTCAGGGAGTCAGGTATAAGCTGTATGTATTACTTCCATAAAAGAGACTAATAAATGTACAAAAATATATCAAAATAGTATTGCAATGATCATCAGTCAGATTCTGTTTATTTACCTCCTTCATTAGTCTCTCATCCTTTCTTCTTTCCCTCTCCCTTCTTGGGGGAGAGGTTGGCCTTCCCTGGGCATACCAGTCACACCATGACCACATAACATGGCTCATGCTGTCTCCTCTATATAGAAAACAATTGTCTCCTTCTGGGGACTTTTCTTCCAAGAGACGGTTCAGCACTGGTCCTCTGAAAAGCTGTCTTTCTGTGGTCAGCAAACATGAAGCTGCTCGGGCACATCAG